AGGAAGGGAGGGAGAGGGGGGAGAGGGAAGGAAGGATATCAGCACCGATTGGCTGCAGACTTTTTATTGAATGAACTCCATGCACTACGCGCTTCGATTTTGTTGTTGCTTGAGTCGTTTGACTTGATGTTGTCTGACCCGTTGTTGTTTTTTTTGCAGCGTGCGACTGCCACCCGATCGGCGCCTCGGGCAAGACGTGCAACCAGACGAGCGGCCAGTGTCCCTGCAAGGACGGCGTGACCGGCCCCCTGCAAGGGTGCCCATACCAGCAGAGCCGCTGACATGCCCCCTGGCTCGACGCCTTGACCCAAACTAACCCAACCTGGGGGCAAGGTTTACACGCGTTTTAAACTTAAACGCTAAATGGCTCGCCGAACGTGTGACTCCACCAAGGGACTGCTTCCCCAAAAAATCCTTGGGGGGGGGTCACAGTTCGGTTTGGCCATCAGCGACCAGAGCCTAAACCGTTAGTTTGGGCCCCAGGTCATCTAACTGTGCGGCCCAAACCCTAACGCCAATACGGCTTTAAACAGCCTTCCCGTCAAAATCCCGAAGGTTCGGCCATAGGGACGGACGAAGGGGAAGGTGACCCAAGCGGGGTTTTTTCCCGGGACAGCAGTGTTTTTTGTCTCGTTTCCCGTCGCGTTTCCTGACCACACTGAAAACTGAACGGCGAGAATTGTGACCGTTGATTTTGGTGCGAAGGAAGTGATCGGAATTCCACCATGGTGGTCAATCGAAATTCCGGTCGAGTCTTCAAACGAATGCCGCCGAGCTTGTACTTGAATGAAGCGTACAACTTCAGTTCTACCAAGCGAGACTCGCGTTTTTTGATACTATAGTGTACGCACGTGAGTTAGGGGGGTGTGTGTGTGTGTGTGTGTGTGTGTGTGTGTGTGTGTACTACAGCGTGACAGCGTGCGTTGTGCGGGATGCTTTCCTCTAAGGGGGTTTACTTGCACGCACGCACTGAGGCATCCGTCACCACCGCGCGACACGTGACCAGCAGCAACAACAAACAACTGGATTTATGCGCCGCGAACTAGATTATTCAGCTTCGTTCATTCGTTGTTCTCTCCTCCACTTCTCTTTTCGTTTTTGTAATGCATAATTTTTCCGCGGGCGCACAGGACGGCACAGGCACACAGTTTATGGAGTGTATGGCACTATCGGGACTCGTCGTGTCCGTTCTGCAGAACGCGCTCTGCGTGTGGCGCGTTTTTTCCCGCTTTCAGTTTTTTGCGCTCCACTAATTTTGGTTCTGCGGGCCGTTACGATTTTCTCTGCAAATGCCGTAATTCGCTTTCGATTGGCCGCCGAGCGTGCAAGCGGTGCAAGCGCCCCCCTTTCCCCACACAATTACCGTTATCGCCTTTCGCGCAGAAAAAAGGGGGCAATTTATCGAACTTGCTGCGGCGCGCCAAATGAATTGGCGTGAAAAATAAAATGAAATAGGCGACGCGGAATTGCAAAACTAGGAGCGAGCGCACATCGCGGCGCGTTCGGCGCCTTCTTTTTACTTCCTTTCTGGTCGGTCTTTTGTTCGCTTTTCCCAGTGTACTTATTATTCTACACGTTGGCGCGGCGGACAGGAAGCCATCAGTGGGACACGGGCAGACACGGGGGTGGAGAGAGAGAGAGAGAGAGAGAGAGAGAGAGAGAGAGAGAGAGAGAGAGAGAGAGAGAGAGAGAGAGAGAGAGAGAGAGAGAGAGAGAGAGACAGACAGAGAGAGAGAGAGAGAGAGAGAGAGAGAGAGAGAGACAGAGAGACAGAGAGAGAGAGAGGACCTCTGGGCGGAAACAAATGACCCCCCCAGGGAGTTCTGGCGAGGGGAAAGCAGGGAGCAGGGGGTAGTGTTCTCGTCCACCACGGCCTGCATGGCCTCGGCCACGAGGTGGCTCTACTCCACTCCCGTTCGCCGCCAAGAACGCCGTCAGGCCGTCAGCAGGCGGGTGGTGCGGGCCACAGAGCTTCCCGAGGGCTGAAGGCCCCCAGGGGGCGGTTGGGCAACCGCTGCAGTGCGCTTGCCCTACGGACGCTGGATTGGAGCCAGGCCCTCGCGCGGGGCCCTAGAATGGGCCCCTGGTGCGGGGCCCTAGTGCGGGGCCCTGGTGCGGGGCCCTAGTGCGGGGCCCTAGTATGGGCCCCTGGTGCGGGGCCCTAGTGCGGGGCCCTGGTGCGGGGCCCTAGTGCGGGGCCCTAGTGCGGGGCCCTGGTGCGGGGCCCTGGTGCGGGGCCCTAGTGCGGGGCCCTGGTGCGGGGCCCTAGTGCGGGGCCCTAGTGCGGGGCCCTGGTGCGGGGCCCTGGTGCGGGGCCCTAGTGCGGGGCCCTGGTGCGGGGCCCTGGTGCGGGGCCCTGGTGCGGGGCCCTGGTGTGGGGCCCTGGTGCGGGGCCCTAGTGCGGGGCCTAGTGCGGGGCCTAGTGCGGGGCCCTAGTGCGGGGCCCTAGTGCGGGGCCCTGGTGCGGGGCCCTGGTGCGGGGCCCTGGTGCGGGGCCCTAGTGCGGGGCCCTGGTGCGGGGCCCTGGTGCGGGGCCCTGGTGCGGGGCCCTGCGGGCCGTGATGGTGGGCGGAGGCCGGCTCGCAAGGGGCCGCTGCCCTAGTGGGGTCTGCCCCTGTCAAGCAGGGAAATACACGTAGCAATTTTGTCCAGTAAGATTGGGCGCGGGCGCGGCGGCGTGAGTTGCTGTGGGGCGATAGGGGCGGTGAAGCCTGGGCCCGGCCATGCCCGGCCTCGGCCAGCTCATGAATGTTACGACGCCGCTTGAGCGCCGCCTAGCGCCTCGCTGTTGAGATAGCGTTTCCAGCCGTCCGTCCGTCTGACTGTCTGACTGTCCGTCCGACTGTGCGTCCGCAGCGGTCCTCTGGTGCCATGGTCGCGGCGCAGCGCGGGGCCGCGCGACGACGCCAACCTGGTCAACCTGGCCGAGCGCCGTCGGCGTGCTCGGCTGTTCGCAGCACGGCCGGACGGCGACAAGCAGTGGCACAACGCGTGGAGGCGTTAAAAACTCTAGACGTGTTTTGAGATCCAGAGATGAGCTAAACAGGACTTGAACCGAGCGTGTGACCCCACCAATGGATTCCTCATTCGGAGAGCAATCCATTGATGGGGTCGGTCACACATTCGGTTCGAGTTCCATTTAGCGACTGGGGAGCTCAAAACGTGACTGGGATTTTGGCCGCCTCCACCGGTCTTCCGCCGCCACTCCGGGCCACCGCGTCGAATAAGCGAAGCATGCAGCGGAGCATGCAGAAATATGAGCCTTTCCTCGCCAAGCACTCGCCGAACGGTGCTTTGTCTCTATCTCGCGCTCGCGGGGCATTCCGCACAGGTGCGAGAGAGACAGGACGAGAGGCAGGCGGTGCCCTCGCATTCCCGCAGCGTTTATTCGTTTGGCGGGCGGGGCGTGCAAGGGGTTGGCGTTGGCGGGCGGGCAGGCAGGCAGGCACGACTCGTGCCGGAAGATGGACGACGTTCGTGGTCTGGTCCCCTGGTGATGAGGAGAGAGTGTGAGAGAGACAAGACATGATTGATTTAAAACCCCCGCCGCACACGCCGCGACCAGCACGTGCCTCGGCCCGCCTGTCTGCCAGCCCGTCTGTCCGGGCAGGGCGGGCAGCCACCCCCGGCCGCCAGCCGCCACCGCCAGCCCCGCCGCCAGCCGGCCGCGGAGCAGAAACAACTGCCAGCCCCGATGATTTAGTCGCTCACTACAACTTAGCGCGCAAGATTTGTTTGTCCTGCTGCACTGCAACACAGCGCGAAATGAACGTGCCTTGCTCGGGGCCTGCGTCCCTGCGCCCGCGATACCAGGCCGAGCGTTCACAGTGGGCTAGAAGACCGGCGCCGGCGGCCAAAATTCTAGACGCGTTTTGAGCTCCATAGTCGCTAAACAGGACTGAAACCGAGCGATGGATTCCTCGTTCGGAGAGCAATCCATTGGTGGAGTCAAACGTTCGGTTCGAGCCCCATTTTAGCGACTGTGGAGATGAAAACGCGTCCTAGATTCTGGCCGCCACCTCCCGTCTTCTGGCCCACTGTGCGTTCCGATGCCGTCCAAAAAGAGGAAGCCAAGCGGAATTTTCCAGCCAACGAACAAAAACTCGCCCTGGCCTGGAACATTCCAGGGAGCGGACACGCCGACACACTGCGTTCCGTTCGGAGTCAAACCATGGTAAAAAGGGAACTGAAAAGTTAAAACTCTTCCTGGCCTGGAACATAAACAACGGGTGGCGCGAGCTGCACGCCGAGGCACCGCGTTCCGCCCTCGGCTAGGTCGAGCATGTGGTGAAAAAGAAAGTAAACAATCGACAGAAACTCGTCCTGTTCCGAAACATTCCAGCAACGAGCAACGGGTGGTCAGCAGCGGACACCGCGTTCTGTTCTACCAGGTCGAACCTTCCGTGGCCAGCCGCGCGCGGCCAGGGCGAGTTTGCTTTTGCAGTCCATTAACCAGCATCGCTTACGGCTCAACACGGCACGGCACGGCACGGCACGGAAAGGCAATCCGAGGAGTGCGAGCGGCCAGGCAATCCGTCATTGTCCGCCATGCGCCTTCGTTCGTAGGCAACCCGCGGCCCGGAAAGTTGGGGAAATCGGGTCGGAACGGCCGTCAGTGTGTGCGTGTGTGGGACAGAGAGAGAGAGAGAGAGAGAGAGAGAGAGAGAGAGAGAGAGAGAGAGAGAGAGAGAGAGAGAGAGAGAGAGAGAGAGATGCATGTCTGCTCGTGATGGAATACTGATTCCGCTTTATTCTTGATTCTTGCAGATCAGTGCGGCAAGTGCCAGATCAGCACGAAGAGGCTGAACCAACGCAAGTACTGCAGGCGAGACTACGGTGAGTACACTGGAGTGTGGAGCCTGGCTGCCCCTGCGACGCGCAGGACGTGACGGTCAAGAGCCTGGCCTGGCCGGCAGGCTTGTCTCCGGGCACTGCTCTCGTCGCTCTGTCTCTCTCGCACTCACGGTGCGCCCCGCGACGGTGCGAGAGAGACAGAGCGACGACAGCAGTGTTCGGACGCAGCCCGCAGGCCGTTGGAGGTTCGAAGGCCCCATCCCGGATATGACTAATCCTCTTCTCATCTCGCCTGGAGGCCCGAGGCCCGCGGCGGAGAGGAGAGCGGCGCGGAGTCCACTGCGCTCGCTAGCGCTCGCTAGCGCTTGCTAGCGCCGAAGGGCCCAAAGGGGTGCGGAGGGGCGCGACGAGAAAGGAGCGTGTTCAAGAAATTGAGGGGGGAGGGGAGAGGGGAGAGGGGGGGGGGAGCAACCGGGGTCGGCATCGGCAGGCCCGAGGGGTCGACGGCGTGGGACGTCGACGAACTGCTGGGACCGTCTTCCCCGAGGCAGACATGGCATCGTGCATCACTACCTCCTCGAGGACCTCCTGGAGGACCTCGAGGTGCACAAGGCGAGGGGGAGCATTGCGAGCAAGGAGTCGACTCGGTCCAATGGTCCATGATGGCGTCGATCCCTTTCACCGACCGCCATTCTCGCTCGTTCGAATCTTGGCGCCGGCGGTGTCTCTTTCATGGGCGAAGTCCAGGGCGAGTCGCTGCGGGGACTGCATGCAGTCTGCGCCTATTCCGCGGGGCACGGGAGGCGCTGCTGCATGTCAAGCAGCAGATCATGTCACGTCGCGTGGCTGGGGGCGGGGGGGGGCGGGGCGAGGCTAGAATCATGCTGCGCACCGCCCTGGCGACACCGACTAGTCGACTACCCCCGGGGCGCGGCGGCACGGGTAACCCGGATGTTATACCCCCCTGGAGCTTTTTACCCCGGTAATATACCTAGGGTTTTACCCCCCCCGGAAAAAGTGCCTAGGCTGTTTTACCCCCCACCCCTGAGGGTAGGGGGTACAATGTGCCCAGGCATGTTACCCCCCGGGATAATGTGCCCGGCATGTTTTACCCCCCCCGGGAAATGTGCCTAGCATGTTTTAACCCCCCCCCTTTAGGGGAGGGGGGACAAAGTGCCTAGGCATGTTTACCCCCCGTATAATTGCCTAGGCACGTTTTACCCCCCCCCCCCCCCCCAAATGTGCCTAGGCAGTTTACCCCCGAAAAAAAAGACTATTCGCTTTTAAAACTCAATTACGGCTCAAAATTTAGACCAAAAAAAGCCCCAAACACCCCAAAATTTGGTAAAGACTGGAGAATGTCGGCCATTAGGGATACTATTACGCGTGTTATTACAGAGTGCCCCCACTGTTACGCGAGTGCATACCCACTGGTCACTCCGCGTCTCTCGCACTCTGGAGAGCTCCTAGCGGGGAAAAGACAGAGCGACGACTCTCGGAAACTGCCCACCTTTTTGCCGCAGAGCTTATGTAAAGGGGTTTAACAGCCATTTATTGGTCGGGTCAGCACTTAATTTTTGTCGCGGCTGTGTCCCACAGCTCGGTTTTAAAAGGGGAGGGGTAAAATGTGCCTAGGCACATTTACCGGGGGTAAAACATGCCTAGGCGTTGTCCCCCTACCCTCAGGGCTGGGGGGTAAAACACCTAGGCACTTTTTCCCGGGGGGGGAAAAAAATGCCTAGGCACATTGTCCCGGGGGGGGTAAAACATCCCTAGGCACATTGTACCCCCTACCCTCGGGGGGTGGGGGGTAAACATGCCTGGGCACGTTTTCCCGGGGGGGTAAAACATCCTGGCACAGTGTACCGGGGGTACAGGCGGCCGGGGGGCAACATCCCCCCGGCACGGCACGGCCCGCGCGCACGGCCGATACAGGAGCACGGGGCGTAGGTGGGGGTGGGGGTGGGAACGGGCACAAATAGAATACAAACAGATTGAGAACTTGCTTATGCCCTGTCCCCGCCCGGGGCGGGCCCACCCCGCCCCCGCACCCCCCGCAGCGCGCCCTCCCACCACTTGCAACCCCCGTGGCGCACCCCTCCCCTTCGAGCTGCCTCCGTCCGCGAAGTTCAAGTGGTGTCTTGTCCGCAGCGGTGCTGGTGCAGGTGCTGTCCAGGGAGGACCCCATGCCCGCCCCCAACGACCCGGACATGGACGCGGACGAGCCCGACGACTCGGACGAGGACGAGGACTACGTGGACCCGGAGCGCGACGACGAGGACGACGACAGTGGCGGCGGCGAGGACTGGGTGCCGTTCCGCGTCACGGTGGACACGGTCTTCAAGAAGCCCGGCATCCAGTCGCGGCTCAAGAAGGGGCCGTCCTCGCTGTGGGTGCGCGCCGCCGACCTGGCCTGCAAGTGCCCCAAGATCAAAGTCAACAAGTGAGTACCCGCCTCTCTCCCGAAAAAAAAAAAGCTCCTTTCCGAGTCCATCTTGTGATTCGCGGACTTTCGCATGGTGCTTGCAGGTCGTACCTGATCCTGGGCAACGAGGGCGAGGGCCTGGGCGCGGGGCTCACCATCACGGAGCACTCCATCGTCATCGAGTGGCAGAAGGACTGGTCCAGTCGCCTGCGCCGCTTCCAGCAGCGCTCGCGGTTCTGCGTGTGAAGCGGCACCGCCTCCAGCGCGCCGTGCCGCCTCCACTCCTTCCTGGCGCGTTTCCGTTCTGTGCTTTCGACGCCCCACCCGGAAAAAAGACTGCTGTGGTGATCAACTTCGAAAGACTGAGTTCGATAACCGCAATCGAAAATCCGGTACATGCAGCCAGAAGCTTGTTCACCCCGAAAAATTGACTTCTTGGATTTAAAAAAAAATATATAATGTTTCTTGTTTCTTTTAAGAAATGGTTTTTGATCCAAACTTTTTTCTTCTTGTGTGAAGAAAAATTTTCTTGTGTCAAGATGTCTTTTCTTTAAAAAAGTGAAAATGTAAAACAAGAAACCATTTTTTCTGTGGGTTAAATGACGACGACTGTCCTCTTAAAAATTTTCAGTCTTGGCTACCAGCTTTTGGCTGTGAGTACCGGATTTTCGATTGCGGCTGTCGAATTCAGCCTATCGAACAAATTTGATCACTACAACCTAGTTTTTTTTTTTGGTTGCAGGGGTGCGAGTTCTTAAAGTTTCTCCGTATCATTTTCTGTTAACTTTTGCCAAGCATAAGACGAAACTAAAATAAAAATACCGTAGCTCTCGAAACAATTAAGAGCCGTTGTGGCAATTCAATGTTCTGGGTGATGATGTCAAGATCATAGCTTTGTTTCAATGGAGATGCGGTTGTATCGAGCGCTGCTCAGTTTTTGGGGTGTGTTTGTTTTGTTAACACAATGGTTCATTTCTTGTTGATTTCGGAAAGTGGAAGGGGAGTGACCGTGTCGCCGCGAAGTGGAAACCGAGCGATTTTATTTAGACTTTGACGTGTACCTGTTCTGCGTGCCAAAGTCGCAAACACGCCGAGTCACGACGGGGAGAGTGGAAGCTTCCCAGCTTACTTCAATGCATATGGATCTGACAACACCTTTCTGCGTTTTCCGCAATCAAACGGACGTTTAATTCAGTGTGATCCGAGCCGGGGCGTGCAATCGTCCATTCGCGTCTCCCGATAAAAAATGAAAGTAATAACAAAAGTGTCCCAAGGTGTTTGACGCGACGAAGTAATACTTTTGCGACATTGACTCTTCGGATTCGCAAGAGAGCGAAACGACTTTGAAGCAACAACAACAAATTTAACAGTACTTTGATCTTTGACGCTTTTGTAGACTCGGATGATGAGGTTCCTCAATTTCTCCGGCGTTTCGGGCGTTTGACTAAATGTAAATACGACTGACGAAGCCGGACACATGACCCGGCGCACCTCCACGGAGCAGGATGAGTTTGTATGATAGTGCCTAGGTGTAGAACCTTCACGAGCGTTTTTCGCTTAGCTCTGTTCCTATAACTTATTATCATTGTTCTAGATCATTAGATTAATATTTAAATATTATTATTACTATTATTGTGCTTTGTAGAAAGTGGGCCACTCCTTGTTCGGTCAGGTGGCAGGAATACCAAAACTTCGTTATAGTTGTAAAGGAGTGATTCCTCGGTATGTAGTTTTTTTTCCAAATCCCCTTTCTCACTTTTTCAACAGCGGTTTTCTAAAAAAAGAAAAAAAGATGGTATCTAAAACATTTCAAAGAACCTTCCATTTGGCAATAAACCCACCGATACCATTCTTGATGACATATCTGATGCAGGTTACAGGCACATTCAAAAATACAAGAGTTTTGTTTATTCTAATCTAAGAGAAAGCACTAAAAGATAAAGTGATAACCTGATTATATTAAGTTGTTTATGCATATCGTTTATAGTTGACAGTAAACTCGAAAAGGAGCAGGGCCGACGCAGTTGTGTTTATCAGTAATTCGTGCGACTGTGCGACCCTCTATCCGTTTTGTTTATAATTCTTTTTTTCGTATTTTTGTTATCTGTGATACGCTATTGTGTAGCCTGTGAGAAACGAGCCCTGTGCGTAAAGAGTTCTTTTTCTTAAGGAGCAAGCAAAGAGCACCTTGCAAGTTTTGCAAGGTGAAGGCACCACGCACTATGGCACTGATGGCGTGACGAAACATGGCCAAAGACGATGAGTCATCCTTTTAAGTTATGTCACGATACTTTATCTATTTACTATGTGGTTAGGGTCTGTTGTAACGTTTTAACCTGTGACGCTTCAAGACATGTAATGCGGTAACTTCTCTATTATTACTCTTGCTACTATTGATATTATCGCCAATAAACTGACTGTACTTATATCGTCCTTTATTCACTTCTCTCAATCGCATTGTCCTCCTAAGGACCCAACCCGTCAAAGTTATGGACGTCAAGCCACCCCAAGGCTGCTAGTTGACCCCCTAACTTGAAACTTGAAACTTGAATCACTTCTAAGTGAGACTTGAAATTTAGACGGGGAGACAATTGGGCGCATTATGGTCGACCATAATTCAGCCAATCGCAGAAGAAAAACACAAATTCAAACATAAAACCGTGCCTAAGACACATTTTGGTTCCAAAGCAAAATCTGTACGATACCCCGTACACGGCCAATACTACGTAGTTGTCGACCCCTTAATGAATTGCTTCCCAGCAACTACTATACCAGTCGATTTCAAATTTGGATTTGGGCTACGGCGCCTGCGTCCCGTCCGCGCATGCCGGCCCGGAAGCATTGCCGCCAGTTGGGTGGCCTATCTCACGGGCGCTCCCCGCTGCACGGGACGCTTGGCAGGCGCTACTCTCTCTCTCTCTCTCTCTCTCTCTCTCTCTCTCTCTCTCTCTCTCTCTCTCTCTCTCTCTCTCTCTGTCTGTCTCTGTGTGTTTCTCTCTGTCTCTCTCTCGCTCTCTCTCTCTGTCTCTCTCTCGCCGATTTTTCACTCCGCCATTGACGCCTGAACGGCCGTCGCCTCGTGGACGCTGCGCACGCTGCGATGAAGCCATAAAGAGCAGCGCCTCCGGGGAAATCACGCGGTTTGCATGAGTGGCCGCCACTTGAAAAACAGGAAAGAGAGGAGAGGGGGGGGATCGATGATCCGGCCAGCCCCCGCACTGGCGGCGATTCCAATGAACTCGTCCACCTGAACGAGCTCCTGGAGGAGGACGTCGCAAACCACGAGGAGCAGGGCCGAGCAGAGCAAGCCCGTCTTCGGTCTTCGCGTTGCAAGGCACGCGCCATGCGTCCACTCACAAAGCAGGCTTCCACGCGCCTCTGGGGGCAGGTGCTGCATGCACCTGTTTGTCGAACTTCAGCCTGCCTGCCTGAAAATTCAGACAATCGCCACCGCCCGCTTGAAATTTTTTGGTTTTCCGTTTCAATCATAGTCGCCCTCGCTCGTAGTCGCCATAAGAGTCGAAACCATCTGGTTACTGGCCTAGCCGCCCGAAGATACCGTCACCCATCCATTCCCGGTACGATTTATGCGAATCGGCGATGGGATCTGGGATCGGAGTGCGCGGTGCCACGGTGCGCCCCGGGGCGGGGCGGGGTGGGCGGCGTGAGGCGGGGCGGCGTGAGGCGGGGCGGGGCGGGGTGAGGGGGGGGGGGGGGGGGGGCAGTGCGTCGTCTGCGTCGCGTGGGCGCAGCGCCGCACCGTCCGAGAGGCGTGGCGTGGCGCGCGGCCGGCAGGGCGTTCGGAAATTACGAAACAAAACAAATAAATAAATAATTGGAATGCATCGCGTCACAAATCAGCGGCCTGCCGGGCCGGGCGCCGCCGCCGGGCGGGCGGCGGTGCGTGGCTAGTGGCGGCGGTGTCCGGGCTAACGACACACAAGCGATGCCCACCTCAGCGGCGTGGCGTGGCGTGGCGTGGCGCGGCGTGGCGTGGCGTGGCGCGGCGTGCTGCGCTGAGCACCGCGTTGCTGCTGCAGCCCGAATATGGCCCGCCCGGCCGACTGCGGTGGCGTAGCAAGGCGACGATCATCGTCTCGTCGCGAGAAGAAAGTGGAACGTAATCAAAATCAACGTCGATCGCAATAATAATATATTTGTCCTAACGTTAGATTTCGAGTCCGTCGGATTTGAATGAAGTACAATTATCTTATGCACGCACTGTTCAAAATCGCCTCGTCGATTCGACTAAGGTGGCGCTTTTTTCCGGCGGCACTTCCTTGATTCGTAGTAGAACCAGCTGAGGGAAAACAAAATCGAAAACAGTAACTCACACAAAATAAAAACAAGTGATTTCGGTTCGTCGTTCGTTCTCACCCAAATATCAAGATGGCGGGGAAGGTGATGGCGCCCCCGACCAGGTAGAAGGCGCCCGGGCAGTCCTGCATGGTGAGCCGGTACACCTTGGAGTACATGGGGCCGCACACCACGGGCATCATGGCCTCGCACACCCCGATCAGGGAATTCACTTTGCCTAGAACGGCAAAAGTTACAGGGTACAAAAGTTAGTGATTTTTACTGATTGAATAAAATTAAGCGACCGAAAAAACCGCACGGCTCACCGAGCTCTTCGCTGGGGACCAGCTTGGAGGACATGGATCTCATGGCGATGAAGGACGTGCCGTTCATGAAGTCCACGAGCGGGGCTGTCATGAAGCACACATTACACTGGTAAAATAAAGGCGTAGAATTATGCCTTTGCGTGAAGCGTACAGAGTGTACGCACTTATTGAAGCGTACAAGAGCTCGCATGCGCTCCTTTTCTCCTATCTAAATGCACGGGCGCATTATCTTGAAGCGCAGTTGCACGCTGCAAGAAGAGCGTAAGTCTCGAAGCGAAGTTCTGCGCACGTGCATGCGCTGCCAGCACACTGCCAGCACACTCACAGTGCAGGCCCATCGGAGGCGACGCAAACAAGCCACAGCGGATTTGCCAGAGAAGACCGGTCGAGGCGGTCAAAATTCAAGACGCGATTTGAGCTCCAGAATCGCTAAATAGGGCTCGAACCGAGTGTGTGACCCCACCAATGGATTGCTCTCCGAACGAGGAGTCCAGTGGAGGGGGTCACACGTTCGGTTCGAGTCCTGTTTAGCGACTCTGGAGCTCAAAACGCGTCTAGAATTTTGGCCGCCTCCACCGGTCTTCTGGCCCACTGTATACCGATGAGCAGCACGCCGACGGTGGTGGCGAAGGCGTAGATGAAGCCGGCCAGGATCTTGGACGCGCAGGACATGATGCCGATGAGGCTGTCCTCGATCTTGAGCACCGCGCTGAGCACCCCCACGGCCAGCATGGTGCCTGCACCGTAAAAACGCGTCAAACTCACACTGCCCCGCCGCGGCCCGCCGCGCGTTGTTGTGGGGCATGTCTGCTCTAGAGGCTCACCCACGAGGTTCACGACGACGGTGTAAGTTTCGAAGAAGCTGAAGTTCAGCTCGTCCCAGTTGAACCGAAGTCGGAGGAACAGGTACAACACAGTGTGCTCACCTGCAAAATTTCAAACTTGTGAACCTATTTTTCCTCTCAAGGACTTGAAGCGCGACGTATTCGGCGTACCGTGCATGGGACCGATGACCATCATGACCACCAACATGAGCAGCACCACCTTGACGAGCCGGTTGTTCTCGCCCTTCTTGAAGACGACGCGCACCGTCTCCAGCAGACGCCGCACGTCGAAGAAGTCTTTGAGGAAGCCCAGGACGCCGTGGGGCGGCGGCCCGTCGCCCGCCCACTTTCGGGGCTCCTCCGCGACCTGCGTGTAGCCCCACCAGAAGCTGCAGACGTACATGCTGGCCGACAGCGAGAACACGCCGTAGAACCTGCAGCGAGTCGGCTCCATGAGCACGCCGTCCTCACAGTGGAGTTGCCAGCAGACCGGTGGAGGCGGCCAAAACTCGAGACGCGGTTTGAGATCCATGTCGCTATAATTGGGTCTCGAACGGTACGTGTGACCCCACCAATGGATTCCTCGTTCGGAGAGCAATCCATTGGTGGGGTCATAAGTTCGGTTCGAGTCCGATTTAGCGACTCTGGAGCTCAAAACGCGTCTAGAATTTTGACCGCCTCCGCCGGTCTCCTGGCAACTCCAACTGTGACTGATTCGCAGTGAGGTGGCGCACGCACGCGCACGCACCCGATGAGGCGGTAGGCGACGCCGGACAGCGCCATGCCGATGGGGATGCCGAGGCAGAAGCACAGGTTGACGATGCCCACCCGGAACGTGCGCTCGGCCTCGGTGGTCACGTCGGCGGTGTACGTGAACACGGCCATGAGCATCGTGGTCCAGCCGCCCGTCATGGCGGGGAACACGCCCTCGGTGAACTGGAGGAGTATGACCGAATGGCCCGGTCAATGTCGACGCTGCACTGTGGATTTGCCAGAAGACCGGTGGAGGCGGCCGAAATTCCAGACGCGTTTTGAGCTCCAGAGTCGCTAAATGGAACTCGAACTGACCGGGTGACCCCACCAATGGATTGCTCTCCGAACGAGGAATCCATTGGTGGGGTCATACGTTCGGTTCGAGTCACTGTTTCGCAGCTCTAGAGCTCAAACGCGTCTAGAATTTTGGCTTCCTGCGCCGCCGGTGTCCTGGCCCCGAGGGGTTACCCACTCGTTGCTTTAGTGTACACACGATTCCGGATTCCCGCGATTCCCAGAACATATCTCTGAGAAAAAGAGAGAACTTTCGAAAATTTTCTTTGTATTTGAATGTTTTTGTGTGTATCACATGGTTACCATGACTTTAAATTGAAACTTTGAGGATTTTCCATCAAATTTTGAAAGATTTAGGAATGATTCCCGGACTGAGTGTACACATGATTCCCGGAGTGGGTAACCCCTCGCCTGGCCCACTTTGCGCTGGAAGAATCACTTGAGCGTGGATTTGCCGGGACACACACCGTGGCCGCCTCGAGGGGCAGCTCGTGGAAGAAGTAGGTGCAGACGAGGAGGCCGAGGCTGGTGAGCAGCTCGCCCACGATGGGCAGCAGCATGCAGGGCTTGCGGCGCCCGTGGCGGTCCGACCAGGAGCCCACGAACAGCAGCAGCAGGGCGGGCAGCGAGCTCTGGATGAAGGCCTTCCAGCCCGCCATGGTGGCCGTCAGCTTCTGGACCTGGCGGCAAAGTCCTTCGACATTCGCGTGAAAGATCACGCCGTGGCCAACCACAGCCCCGCACCCACCTCGGTCTCCTCCAGGGTGTAGTTGGCGGTCATGCGTGCCGTGAGGGCGTCGCAGACCACGTCGTCGTAGCGCAGGTTGACGCGGCAGGCCTTCTCCAGGTTGAGGTTCTGCGTGGCCAGGCTGGCCAGCACGCTGGGGATGGTGAACATGGCCAGCATGGGCTCCACCGTGACGTTCTTCCGGATGTAGCGCAGCTTGGCGCGCAGCGGCAGCGCCCAGAAGTCGAACTTCTCCGCCGGCAGCGACGGCTGCAAGGGAGAAGGGGTCGCCCAGCGTCACTTCGATTCGTTGGAGAGTTTAGACGGAATTTAAGTGTTATATATATACGAGTGTGTCTCAGTTGTTTCCTGAGCTATTCCAAGTTTCAAGAGGATGCCAACGGCGCACCTTCTCGACGCCGCCGTTCGCTCCACTGTACAGCCTCTCCTGCTCGGCCTGCTCCGTGGGGACGTCGTCGCCCTCGTCCTGCCTGAGAACCGCCTCCTCTTCGGCCAGGGTGGCGGCATCCGCGCGGACGTCCTCAGCCTCCTCTCCGTTGACGTCCTCGGCCCCCGGGCCATGGCCTTCCCTGACGGCGGCCTCGGCCTGCTTGCCTCCGTCACCGCTGGCGGCGGCCTCGGCTTCCCTGCCCTCCTCGGCGACGGCGGCGGCCTCGGCGCGCTTCATGGCGTTGGGCGGGGACAGCGCGTAGAGGCCTACGACGGCGGACTCAGTTCCCGGGCCGCGGCGACGCAGTCCACGGAGGTCCCGTCGTTTCCGCACCCATGCCTGCAGTGCGACGTGCAGAAGAAATTCCGTCGATTTAAAGTCGTATCAACCTTTTTCGAGTGTCGCGGTTGCGATTATGAGACACATCACGTAACGTGTTGCCTATGGCTGTTTGCAGAAGCTCTCCTTTCGTAATGTCTCCTGCGGGGACACCGTAATAGATAACGCTAAGGAACATGTCCTGTGGGGAAGTTGCAGGCACCTCTCTGTGAACTCGACTGCAACACGGAGTATGCTTTACTGGATGAGTGCAGTTAGTTTGCAAAGAGTTAAGTTTTCGCTCTTGAGCGTGTACTCTAGTACTCAGAGTCACGGTAAAACCATCTCCTCGTAGTACTTGACTGGTATTTCTCAGAATCCCTCGAGATTTTCCTGGGAATTAACCGACATTTCTGGGAATTGCAGGAGATGGTTTTACCGAGTGCCGCGCTCAAACGAGTCGCGGCCAAACAAGCGTGACACCATTCGCCCTCTCGTGAACGTGACGTCGCAGTCACTGAAAAAACAGTGCCCTGCGATAGTGGATGACTGGTGGGGAATCCATTGTCTGATAGTAGGCCCGCACTGACAAAAATAGGTACATCTAGTGTCACAGTGGATCCACTTCAAAATTGCACATACGGTGTGATAGGGAATTGATGGTCCATGGCAATCTCTGATGAAACGAGGTCAACAGTTACTACACGGCAAAAGTACCGCCTGGGATTCCCAGGCGCATCATGGGGAAAAGGGCCTATTTTCCAGGCACCGCCTGGGAATCCCACGCGGTACTTTTGCCGTGTACTGCGACCATGGATTTCCTTCACTTAGGTTATATTTACTGAGAATCCAAACGCTATGGCGTCAATCGGTGCAATGCTTTTGCAGCACATAAAGTGCAGTGCCTTCCCTTTCCATGCATTAGCAAATGGCATTTTCGGGAAGCATTGCAATATGGTGCGAAATCTCAGTGCTATATTGATAGCGTTTGGAATCTCACTGAGACTCAGTGTTCTTTTTTAAAAACAGAAGATCCAAGATACCAAACAGCTGATCACTCCATGACACAGAGAGACGATGTTCTTCTCAAATTAGTGCGTCCACTACTGAACAGTTGATTCCATAAAACACATCCACTGCCACGGTGAGGAATGGGTATCTACAGCTGAGCACTTGGTGGATATCTTTCACCTGCACGGCCGAAGCGCAGTCAGTCGGCACCACTCGCTCGCTGCTGGCTGCCTGAGACGCACTGCCTGACTGCCGCAGCCACTCCGCGCGTTGCACTGCCGCCGTGATAAGAGCGTCTTCGCGGCTCCCCACCCCCCTCCCCCCTGGGTCCCTTGGTCCTGACGTTTTTGGTGCAGCAGCCCTCAGGGCTGTGCGATATCCACTTTTCGGTATCGTGATACGATATTGCCGTACTCCGATATCGAAGAATATCGACCAATATCGATGGTATCGAGATCGATAATTATCGCGATATGTGGACATGTCAATCGTGAAATCGAGCCCTCGATATGTTGTACCCCTCGATATCAGGGTGATATCGTATCGACCTAGATATCGTGATACAGCCCTGGGCGCGTCCGTCGCGACGTCCGTCTGGAAACTGGAAAAATTTACCGCGTCCGTCCTGAGCCTCGTCACTCCGAGAAGCCATTCCCGCCTTGAGGAGCAATAAAAGCCCTTTCCCTTGGCTGAGCGTCACATCAGATCCGTTTGTCACCTCACTGACTTCCAGTGACTGCAGTCGGAAGTGGGCTCCGAGGATCGCTGTGTGCATGCAAGGATCGGGAGGAGGTATGATGGATGCGCCGTGTCCCCTGCGGCCAGAGCGAAAAAGTCGCACGTTGCCCAGGGCAGCTTGTTTGCCCCCCCCCCCTTTCCGGCCCGCCGAAATGCCAGCAAGTTGGGCTGCCTATCCTTCGGCCCGCAGGCGCTCCGCGACCGAGCGCTGTGCACAGTGTGCACTCCCCGCAGGCCTGCCTTGAAATGGCTTGGCCCACAAACGGTCCTCTCCTTTGCGGGTCCGTAGTGTTAACTTTGTTTCGCACTGGAGAGAGCCCCAGAGTCGCTAAATGGGAATCGAACCGAACGTGTGACCCCACCAATGGATTGCTCTCTGAACGAGGAATCCATTGGTGGGGTCACACGCTCGCTTCGAGTCCTGTTTAGCGACTCTGGAGCTCAAAATGCGTCTAGAGCTTTGGCCGCCTTCACCGGTCTTCTGGCCCACTGTGATGGCGGCGGCCAGGTGGGTGAGGCGCTGCCTAATTAATCGAATATCGGCCGCTGCTGCGTCCCTCCTTTTGGCCGCGGACCGACGGCCGCCCAACCCCCCCCCCCCTCCCCTCGTCGGGACATGCTGCGACGTGGCTCCGGAAACGCTGCAATCAGTCACTGCATGGGTGGGCAGTGGGCAGGGACTCGAGGAGCTGCGCTCCCATGCATGTTTCTTGAAGGATGGGAAAAAAATCGGGAAAAGATGAGTTTGTTGTGAGATTGTGAAGAAGTGTGTGGTTCTTCTTTGTCTGCTTCGATCCTCACAAAACGGGCCGTCTATTTTTGCAACAATCCACTGGGAAACGTACGCAAAAAAGGACTATTCAGGGCCCCAGAGGACGGCGGGGGCGGGGCGGGGCGGGGTCCTGGGGGCTTCGCGTCGGCTTCGCGACGGTCCGGGAGGAACCCTAGACAGTCAAATTAATTTGCGCCTCCGCGATGTTGCAGTATACACTGGAGGGGCGGTCATGCTAATGCAGGCCCAAAAAATGCCAAGCAAAATGAGAGTGGAAGAGGCGGGACAAATAAAAATAAAGGGGAATCCGGAGCAGCTTGCGGGGCTTAGCCAGGAGGGCAGTCAAGGGAGATGGGCGGAGACATCTCCCTCTGCCTCTCTCTCTCTCTCTCTCTCTCTCTCTCTCTCTCTCTCTCTCTCTCTCTCTCCTCTCTCTCTCTCTCTCTCCCCCCCGGGCGTGGCGCGCCAATGGAAACGAAACCATGGACAAATGGAGCGAAAAATAGAGGGGCACGAACGCATCGGTCGCAAGTGAAATTGGAAAATGTCAGAATGTCCGGTCTATCGTCCCGTTTTTCTTTGATACCAAGAGGAGAAATTATCATGGGACGGTTGTCAATCAATTTTGATCGGGTGGCCCGTGTTAGTAAACCGAGCGCAACACACACACCAGAGACGCAAAATGATCGGCGTAACGGCGTAACGGCGTAAAGCAACCTCCGCGGTGGCCGAAGGGACGAAGGCCGGACGGCAGACGGGCCAGGCTCAGGCTCCGGCACTGCAAACGAAGACGGGGGCGCTACGAACGCGGACTCGGCCCGCCGCCGATTGTTCTCTTCTCTTCCCAATGTTTCTCTTCGCCTAGACGGCCTCGACCGCTCGGCCTTCCTCATCAGCCGCGCCGCCCACTCCGCGGCTTCTTAATCATTGCTCCTAATATTAATTGCTCCTAAATTAATTGGCGGTGCGGAAGGTCCCTGCGCGATACGGCGCGGTCATAACATTCAAGTCCGTTACTGTTCACGCCTCACTGGCCGCGTCGTCCGCCCACGGCGCCGGCGCCCCACCCCGCCCCGCCCCGCCCTGCCCCGCCCCGCCAACCAAAACGGAAAGACATTAATCGGTGATCCGCCAATCCCCTTTCCATTCCGTTCAAGTGGTGCCGTCTGTCAGGGTCGGGGCGCCCTCAGCCCAGATGTGGGTCTGTTTGTCGTTTGACGGCGTGGATCGTCGTGGGTGGACCTGTGATTGCAACGAGTGAAGGAACTTTAAAAAATCCGCCCCCATGAATATGTGGACTAAATGCGAGCATGGGGTGGGTGTAACATGGACTCGTGTTTGGAGACTATGCTTGCGATGAAAAACGTTAAAGAATACCCATGCCGCACTGCTACGGCCCTGCCGACCTCGAGTTGGCCTGTGGACTGATTCCGAGAGTCGTCGTCGTCGCTCTGTCTCTCTCGCACTCATGGGCGCGCCGTTCAGGCGCGAGAGAGACGGAGCGACGAATGTGACTCTGGGAATCGGTCTGGGCCGATGATGCGATTGCCCCGTGCCGTGCGGGTCATTCTTCTCGAGGCGTCACTGCCGCTCTGTCGACCCGACGAGTGAGAAGGTGTTGAGTCCTCGCCTCGTTTGATTAATCGACTTATCAAAACATTGGAAAAGAAAATAGTAAAAGAATTTTCGACAGTTTATTTCCCTCAAGTTTCAACGTGCTATCAATGGGCGTGATGGTGTGCGCAGCGATCTTGAAAAAGGTCTGTGCAAACTGGGGCATTCAATGACCCATGAAGCGGAGGTGGTGGCGGGTCTGCTGGGCTCTGGCACCTCTGGGCCCCGCGTCGCTCTGGCCGGCCTGGCCCTGGGAGTGGACCCTCTGCAGCGGCGCAGCGGCAAGGCTGCCGCCGACGCCAACGGGTGTCACTACACGATAAGATAAGGCTGGAGCGGCTCCTGGCTGGAGCCGTGCTGGAGCGCCACGGCCAGCCAGCACCCGAGCCGGCACCTGTGCCAAGTTGGGCTGCCACTACACGGGAAAAGTAATCGACTTCGGTTTCCGACAAGCTTCGCGGCGGGCAACAACAAATCTCCTAATGGCAGCGTGCAGCCAGCCAGCTGAGCTACCCCGGCTTCTGTTCTGTGGCTTGGCGAGTTCTGGGGCACTGTAAGTGGGTGCTATTTGCGTGGAAACTACAGCGTGGGGTGGGAACCGATGCATCGGTTTCCTTTCACTAATTTGCAACGATGGCACTCGCTGCTCTGCGCGCCCCATCTTCCCGTGCAACCGTCCTCTCTCTCCCTCTCTTCACTCCTGCTTCGCTTCGGCTTCTGCAGACGCGTTCCCGCGCCTTGCCGCGTCGTCCAGCACGCCTTGTCGTCCCTCCGTCGCCCTGGCGGTCCTGCTGCCGGGCGCCGCGGGGGCGGCGGGCAGAACAGGCAGTGCCGTGGCCGGATCGCTGTGTCCGCGATGTCCGAGGGTGCGCGCCGTGCAGTTGGCGGTGCCGTTGGCGGTGGCGTGCCCGCCGTCCCAGGCCGGCCTCTTGATGACCAGCTCGTGGATGGCGGTGGCGCAGATGGCCACGGCCGCGCACAGCAGCACCACGCTCACCTGCCGGGGCGGGCGGCGCACAGTGGATTTGCCAGAAGACCGGAGCCGGCGGCCAAAACCCCTACGCGTTTGAGCTCCCGAAAGTCGCTAAACATGACTCGAATCGAGCGTGTGACCCCACCAATGGATTCCTCCTTCGGAGAGCAATCCATTGGTGGGGGTCGCAGTTCGGTTCGAGTCCCATTTAGCGACTCTGGAGCTCAAAACGTGTCCTGGACATTATTGACCACCCTACCGGTCAAATTTATTAGTACATTTAGTTACAACCTTATGAATACTTAAGCCCAATATGGAAATGCTCAAATTGTGTTTTGAGATTGTACATAGCTAACTGATTTGTTCGAATAAGTCAATACTTATGGACAATGAAAGGCACACAAACATTCCGTGTAGTCCTCTTCATGTCTTCTTCCCACTCACCAGCAGAGTTGGAGAAACGAACGTTTGCCCCAGCTTTGCCATTTCAAAACGACTTAGCTCGGCTTCTAAACCATTGAAATTAGAAGGATATGTTGCAAGCCAGCCCATTGTGAGCTTGAACACAGACTTTGAATTTGGCTTCGCTGAGGTAGATGAGCCCTCTAACCTCAAAAGGTTTGGCGGAAAACACACTCCGGTTCGTTTCAAGACGGCGGACCAGGCGACACGGCACATCCTGCGGTTCGCCAACACGTCTAGGACTCTGCTGCTCACCACGAGTTCCTTGGTGCCGGCCATGGCGGGGCCTCGTCCAGGGCTGCCGATCTTCAACTCTGTGGTTCGGCGACAACGCTTCCGCCGTGTGCGCCTTCCGCGAGCCGGGACGCCACTGCAGCCTTTGAAGCGTGCTGCCTGCCGCCCGCCAGAAGGCTGACTCCGAAAGTCGTCTTGGCGCTCTGTCACGCCAAAAAGGGACGCCCCACGGGCGCGAGAGAGACGAAATGAGCCTCTGAATCAGTCTGCAGGCGATTCGACGCCAGAGCGACGCCAAACGCGGCTGCGGTCAGGACGTCAGGACGCCAGGACAGCTTTAGCGAGCCTTTTGTTCGCGGATAAAGGGAAGTAAATAATCCTTCGTATGTGGTGCTGCGCGTTGCGCATGATGTAACAGCCCGAAAACATTCTTTCATTACTTTTTTTTCTCTCTCTCTTGCCCCCGAGTGATTCCCTTCTGCGCGGCACAGCTGGCCGGCATGTCAATACACCGCGCACCGCGCACACCGCGCGCACCGCGTCACGCGACTTGTTTGCACAAACCAATCGGTCGCAGAGAGGGAAAATGCGCGCACGGGACGCTAATAGCGCTCTCTCGATTCGCCAGCGGGGAAAAATGGAACGGACAGCGTTGTACACTGGACCAGAGGGCCGGTGGGCAAAACTCTGGACGCGTTTTGAGCTCCAGAGTCACCAAATGGAACTCGAACTGAACGTGTGACCCCACCAATGGATTCCTCGTTCGGAGAGCAATTCATTGGTGGGGTCACACGTTCCGCACGAGTCCCATTTAGCGACTCTGGAGCTCAAAACGCGTCCGGGATTTTGACCGCCTCCATCGGTCTTCTGGCCCACTGTGCGTGGCGTGGCTCGTATCAAAATTTACAAAGTCTGCTGAGCGCACGTGCTGGACGTCGAGGAGTTGGAGAGTTGAAGGCCTGCTGTCTGGTTCCGGACGCTGCTTTCGCCGCCCCGTCTCTCTCACTCTTTCAACGGGGCTGCGTTGGGGTGCGAGTGAGGCAGGGCGACGTTGCTGGGCTGGGCACTGCCGGGGCAGATGGCTGTTTGCGAAAGCCCGTCCCGGCGAAACGAAATAACAATAGCAATCGCCGGGAAGGATAAACAAACAGCGCGTCTCGCTGCACGCCGCGCCGCGCCACTGCACCACTACTTGCACTCCTCGCCATCATCCACCCCCCTCGGTAAACACGCCGAAAACGCGCTGAAAAATGAAAAACGGACCATGGGCCCAAAGTGTGGTGCTGTGCTGCAGGCCGCTGGCATCCCACCTGCCGATGTGTCTGCCAACATGCAGGTCAGGTGTTACCTGTGGGTCCCTCCGAACGCCATACAGTTCAGTGCTTCGTCGCTCTGTCTCTCTCGCTCCCCTGGGACGCCCCACGAGTGCGAGAGGGACACGGTTTGCTGGCCGATGCCTGTCCGCCCCCCGCGGGGTGATCGCCCTCGACAACAAGGAGCGTCAGTCGCCCCTGTCACAGCCGGCCAGTCCGTTTGGGGGTCGAGGAAGGCGGGGCGGGGCGGGGCGGCGACTTTTGCAGCCATTCCTCAAGATCAGGCAACGCCACCACGGCATAATACGAACAGCAGAATGTGACGTAAATGGTGCCGCTAAAGGATAAACAAAAATAAGCAACAAGTTGTTGGAGGTTAGGAAGGATTCATGCCGGGGCGATCGGCGGCACAGCCAATCGGATGCATCCATCGCCATCGGGGCTCAAGAACGACCTCCTGGGCCTCCTCCGCGAGCGCGGCGAACCGCACGGCTCGGCCGGCGGTCAAATGCGGTCAGAACCAGTGGGCTCCGACGTGTCAGTCGGTACGCAGGGCCCGGCCGCCACGTTTCGACCGCAAACTCAACTCTAATTTGATGTTTGCCCGGCCACCGGGCAGTGCTTTCGTTTGCATAACTCTCCCTGGAATTTGAAGGATGTTTCATCTCCGCCCCGCCTCCAAAAAGGGCCGACCTGGGCCGACGACCGGCCGACCGACCGACCGGGCCGTTCGTGCCGTGCATTGTGTGTGCACGTGTGTGCACGTGTGTGTGTGTGTGTGTGTGTGTGTGCGCGCGCGCGTTTCTGCCTGTGTGTGCGTGTGTCCGTCTGCTCTAGTCCGCCTGTCGACCGTCGGCCGTCCCGACAGTGTGCCCGACGTGCCGTCCCGCCGCCGGCCTGTCTGGCGCGGCCGGGCGGCCGGGCACGCTGCTGCACTGCAGGCCAGGACGGTCAGAGGCAGCAGGGCCGGCGGAGCGGTACGGGTAGAGGGGGTAGGGGTGGGGTGTACCGCGCCGCTCTTCTGAGATTCAGTCAGTCAGTAATTCAGTGCCGCGCCGTCTCTGGTGGGGAGAGCATCGAGCGTCCATCGAGCGTGCGTGTTGTCGATCCCCGCGGTGCGCATGCGTCGTCGTCGCGACGCTCTGCTCTGCGCGTGCGTCGTTAGGCCCTGCCGCCCCTCGGCCCCTCGGCCCCGGTCGCACTGACCTAGGCGTGCGATGTGAACCCGTTGCACGTTCGCGTGTGTGTGTTTACGTGTGTGCGTGCCCAAGTGTGTTGTAGTGCAGTGATTCCTCTCTTCTCCGGGCACGGATTATGCCCTAGCTGTGCCCAGCTCTCGACGGCCATGTCGACGGCGTGGGTCTTGTTGCTGGCCGTGGTGCTGGCGGCGGCCGAGCAGGGCCCCGTCCTGGACGCGGACGCGGTGGACGCGGTGGACGCCGTCCTGGCGGTGTCCACGTCCGCGCCGGCGGGGCCTGCGGGGCCTGCGGCGGGCGACGCCTGCTACGACGAGGCGGGCGGCCCCCGGCGCTGCATCCCCGACTTCGTGAACGCGGCGTTCGGCAAGGCGGTGGAGGCGTCGTCCACGTGCGGCGAGGCGGGCCCGGTGCGCGTGTGCGACGCGCAGGGCGGCTGCCAGGTCTGCGACGACACGCACTCCCGGCGCCGCTTCCCGCCCGCCTTCCTGACCGACCTCAACAACCCCGCCAACGTGACGTGCTGGCGCTCCGAGCCGCAGCCGCCGCCCGCGTCCAGCGCCGCGCCGCCGGACAACGTGAGCCTCACGCTCAGCCTGGGCAAGAAGTACGAGCTGACGTACGTGAGCCTGCAGTTCTGCCCGCGCGCCGTCAAGCCCGACTCGCTGGCCATCTACAAGTCCATGGACTACGGCAAGACGTGGCAGCCGTGGCACTTCTACTCGTCGCAGTGCCGCCGCGTGTACGGCCGGCCCAACCGCGCCACCATCACGCGCGCCAACGAGCAGGAGGCCCTCTGCACGGACGCGTCCTCGGCCTCGTCCAGGATCGCCTTCAGCCTGCTGGAGGGCCGGCCCTCCGCCGCGGACTTCGACTACTCGCCCGTGCTGCAGGACTGGGTCACCGCCACCGACATCAAAGTCGTCTTCAACCGCCTCAGCTTCCCGAAGGTGAGTCCCGGACGGGCTGCGCCTTCGCGCCTTCGCCGGGGGGCGTCCTGCTTTATGGCCACCTCGAAGGCGAGTCGGCTGCAGGAGAGCGGTGGAGCGGACGGACAAGGACCGTCCAGCAACGCCGTCACTGCAGGCTGAGAGTCGTTTTCGTCGCTCTGTCTCTGTCGCACTCGCGGGGCGTCCGTATGGGTGCGAGAGAGACAGAGCGACGAAAACGACTCCCGGAATCAGTCTGCCGTCCAAAGACGGCCCGCGCATGCCTATCGGGAGGCCGGCCGCCCGGCCGCCTGGCTGGCGTGTCCGGAGCCGTGTCCGGCTGGTCGGGCCGGCCGCGTGGGCAGCACCGCGCCGCGCCACGCCGCGCCGCAGCAGTGCCGTCAAATTGATCAGTCTCCGGCTCGGTAGTAAAGCCAGCGTTCGATCGGCGTGATCGTGGCCGAGATTAGCCGGCGACACCGTCTTCGGGACCCAGCGTCGCAGCGTCCCGGGGGAGAGCCCGGCCAGCCCGGCCAGCCCGGCGTGGCGTGTCCCGAGGGAGCGGGCAGACGCAGCAGGGCCGCGACGGAACCACCACGTGAACGGGGCGGCGTTGCCTGGTGGCCGACGGTGGCCGACGACGACAGGGCGTTTGTGCTCTCGTCTCACTGCGCACGTCGGACGCGAGGACGTCCACAGACCGAGGGGCAGGACGCACACCGGCACCGGCGTCGGCGGCCAAAAATCCAGGACTCGAACCGAACGTGTGACCCTACCAGTGGATTCCTCGTTCGGAGAACAATCCGTTGGTGGGGTCACACGTTCGGTTCGAGTCCTGTTGAGCGGCTCTCGAGCTCAAAAAGCGTCCGACATTTTGACCGTCTCCATCGGCCTTCTGGCCCACTGGAGTGGACGCCAAGTCTCGTGGTCCAAAGAACTTGACCTGGAAAGCATGCACGAACAACAGTGGAAGGGTGAAGGTCTGCATCCTTGATTTCCACGCCTCCTTGCACCTGATTCCGAACTACTGCTGCAGCATGGCGCGAAATTGGCTGAAGGGGGGGGGGGGCACAACTGCACTACGGCCCCTCTCCTCCGCACTTCGGAAGTAATTTTAAGGCGGCAAAGGGGAAAAAGGAGAGAGACGAGAGGGGAAATAAAACAAGGGATCAAGTCAAGTAGAATAAAGTGTGAGAAGGATATTGAAATGGATGGGGGGGAGAGTGAAATGTCTGCGCCGGCACCCTTCCTTCACCCCCACCCCCGCCCGCGCCAAACTATGAGCCTGGTTCGACCTCGTTCCGCCGTTTTGCCTTCGTTTTGACAGAAAGCTCAGAGAGAGAGAGGGGAATGCCTGCGATTCCGCGCAGTGTACATGCAGGTAGCGGCCGGCAGTGACAACATAGCACCTGCAGGTGTCCCTTGATATCGCCCAGCGTCGCCCGGCCGGCCGTCTCACTGCCTTGTTGGCCTACAGAGCGTCCCTGATTTATGGCGGCCGATCTCTGTCGCAAGCGAGCAGCTAGGCACAAGGCGGTGCGCGCCCCAGCGCCCCCTGTCGCACGGCAACTACAACAACTACAGAACTACAGCGGATACCACAGTGGTTACAGTGGTACAGTGCATGGTGGAGGGAATTCCACACAGGCGGGGACTCGATCCGCCATCCGGCGCACAGTGGGCCAGAGGACCGGCGGAGGCGGCCGAAAGCCCTGCCCTGCGCGTTTTGAGGCCCAGCGTCGCGAAATGGGACTCGAACCGAGCATTTGACCCCACCAATGGGTTCCTCGTTCGGGGAGCAATCCATTGGTGGGGTCACACGCTCGGTGTGTGTCCTGTTTAGCGACATTGTAGCTGGGAGTTTGACCACCTCTGCCGGTCTTCTGGCCCACTGTGCGGGTCGCTCTGAGAAATTCTCTGCAGTGAACCTGCGGACCAGTGCGTGATTTCTCATACACTACGCTAAGGGCTTCGCCAGTTGTCTCAGTGTTTCCTCCAGAGAGAGAGGCGTTTTATGGCAGACAAGCGGACCGGACGGACGGTCCGAGTCCAAGGCGGTCCTAGTGGTGCCGACACTGTCGGCGGAAGGGAAGGGAAGGGGCGACAATTAATGCAACCGAGGGACTATTAGGACTCGTAATAGGACGAGCTTGTTAAGGGAATGACCGCAAAGTGACGCCGCGGTCGAACTCGGCGCGTACCGGGTGCTGCCCATGCACGGCTATCGAATCAGCCGAGCCGAGCCGAGCCGAACCCGAGATGAAAGCCAAGATGGCAGCTGTCTAGGCCGTATTAGGCGCGGGGCAGGCCCTGGGCAGGCCCGGCAGGCCCCCGTAAACCATAAACGTCAGTTTACACAGGCTTTATCTGAACAATGTATTTGCGAATCTTGTAGACAAGTTACTCGAGTCAGCGACTCGGCCGAAGTCATAAACGACTTGCCAGCGCGCCCAGCTTCCTACGTACACCGTCGACCCGTCGGCGGCGTCCACCATGGGGGTCTCTATGCCGCTCCGGGGGTTTCAAAGAATGTTCTGAGGCTACACAGACGCACTCCACTCTGACCGGCCCGTGCTTCAGCCGCTGCAGCCGCGGCAGCGAGGTGTCTGCCGGCCGCAAAAGTTTGGACATAAATCGTGGCTGGGTTCGCGTCCGCCAAGGATTCTGCAGACTTGCGCTGCTCCGCTCGCCATCCGCGGCCACAGCCCCGCGTCCCGCCCGCAGTCCGGCCCCGGCCAGCAGTCCGGCCACCTACGGCGGCGCGGTGGTGTGGCGCGCTGCGGTGCGCTGCGTGGGAACAAGGTGTCCGCCGTCGTGTCCGCCGCCGTGTCCGCCCTCCGCCAGGCCACGCCAGGCGAGCCCCTTTATGAGTCCGCTGGCTGTAAAGCGCGATACGCGATACAGCGCACACACACACCTACACACACGCACACACACGCGTGCGCATACACACACACACGCACCGAGACGTCCGACTGACTCGTCCAACCGCACCGCCGTTCCGGACGCCAACAAGTTGGCCGCCGTGGCCGACGGCATGGTCGACGCGGTCCCCGGAGAGCGGAGAGCCCTCGCTCCATTCTTCCAGCATCCGGGCAGGCGCGGGGCGCGGATCCAGAGAGCAGGAGGAAAGAGGGTGTGCACACTAAACTTCTTACGGATACATCCTATCTGTGTTACGGACATTTTTGTGCAATTGCAATTACGGATAGATTTTGCTTGTAATACGGATGATTTTATCCGCAATACAAAGGTTTTCGTGTCCGTAACATACAGACGAAAATATCCGTATGGTACGGACGTAAAACTCTTTGTAATACGGATGATTTCATCCGTATTACAAGCAAAATCTATCCGTAATTGCAATTGCACAAAAATGTCCGTAATACAGATAGGATGTATCCGTAAGAAGTTTAGTGTGTGTGTGTGTGTGACCAGCCCCTGTAGATGGGCAACTTTCGCGACATCGCCGCTTCTTCCGAACCCGTCTCTAGATCCGCCCCCTGCCATCCGGGTCTTCTCTGACCCACTGCCTCGCCCACTGCGATACGGCCCCAGCCAGTGCACCTGCACCCCTTGCGGCTCTGCCGGCCGGTTCAACACAATCCGGTTTGGTTTTTAACTTCCAACGGCGCCATTGTGAAAGAGCATTTCCTCTCTCCCTTTCTTTCCTTCTTTCTTTTGGCGTCCGGCGGTCCGCCGGGCGATGCGATGGGAGATGGGAGATCTGATTGGATGGCGGTGCGTACTGTGCGTACGGCCTTCTCTGTGCAGTGGACTGGACGTCCGCTCCGGTTACTCGCCGCGGCCAATTCGATCAATCCGATCAATTCGATGAAAGCGGTCACCTCGCACCGGGAAAAGAAACGCCCGACGAAATACGACCCCAATTACTTCCACATGCGCACGACGAGAGCAGGGGGTGGCAACGCTGTACACCTATGTTGACGCCATGTTCGACCCCCCCTTAAATCATGGTTCTTTTCAAGGAGATACTCTCTGAACCCAGCAAAGGAATCGAATGAAACTTGAGTGCGGTATCAAGTTAAAAGGTCATATTAAAGTAATAATCAAACGAGAGCACACTTACGATCAATTCACTCCTTGAAACCGCATCGTGAAAACAAGAGAAAAATTGGGTTTTGTTAAAATCGCTACAAGAAAAGTGTCTACTTATATTTTCAAAACGTTAATCTTGGAAAGTTTTTGAGTTTTTGAGTTGAAACCTGGCCTAAACACTTCCTCAATTCATATATTATCGTAATAACAAAACAGTTTGGCTCTAATGGACTTAGTACTTTGGATCTCGTCGAAGTAAACTAATGTGCTAGGGGTGGCCGAACATGGCGTCAAGAAAGATGCAGGGCGTTGCCACCCCCTGACGAGAGGAATAAAAAAAGAGTCCATCCTTCTACAGGGCGATAGAAAAACAAGCTAATCCAGTGTGGTGTTGGGCTTTATATGGCGGCGCGGCGGCCACGCGGTGCACGCGGCAGACGGTGTTGGGTTGCCGCGCGCTAATACCAAGGGTGGCGAAAGTCGGTCACCCTGCCTAGAATTTGGAGGAGCGTGAGTGTGTGTGTGTGTGTGTGTCCGTCCGTGTGTGTGTGTGTGTGTGTGTCCGTGTGTGCGCGCGCTGTGCGTGTGTGCGTATTAGTGCATCGGAGCAATCTTTTGAATAATGTTTGGCGCGATGCGTGGTCCCTGATGTCATTAAACGCCCTCTTCCCCCCCTCTCCCCTCTCGCCACACCGCTTGAGGCTGGCGGGCCCTGGCGGCCTGGCGGCGCGCGCCGGAACCCGCCCCCTTGTGGGAGGGGCCGCCCAGGATTTATGATTGCATATTGCTATTCAAAGGAATTTTGGCGGGCATTACCGCGAATCTCGTCTTCCCCCCCCCCCCCCCTCTCCCGCTCGCTCTTTTATGTAGTGACGTCGTCGTCGGCCTGCACGCCCCGAGGCGTGCTCCTTAAATATGTATGTCGCACCTCGGCCTTGCAAGTTGAATGCTGTATGGGGGGC